TGGGAGAGTGATCAGAGTCTAATTCCTTAGTTATATCGGTTTCACCACAATCTATTGAGTTCATAGCAATATTTTTAACTACAAAAAAATCTATTACATCTGGTTTTTTTGTTGGGTCAGTCGGCCAATGTGTGGGCCAATGTGTGCTAAACCCTTCTAATCTTTTTTCCACTTGGTCAGGTAATAAAGGAATCGGGATCAAGTTTTCGCAAATAGCCTGCGCCTCTTTTCACACCGCGACAGCTATATTCAAATGCAGAATACATTTGGAACCAAGCGAGTATAAAGGTGAGGGTGTGGAGGGAGGGGGAGAAGAGCTACTTTAATCAAAACACGAGACATTGTAAGGGTTGAAATGAATGCTTTGCTTGATATGAAAGCTCTATTGATGGCAACAAAATATTATTCAGTCATTCGAGGAATATTATCATTGCCACATCCGTCATCCCTTTAATCACTATAATGAGAGCATGGTATGCATAAAATACCCATGCGTTGGAAATAATTATTTTAAGGTCTTCTACCATCCCCCACTCTTCGAAACGCCTTTTGTATAGAGATGTAGAGTTGTATCAAAATCTGAGCCTCCCTAATGAGACATTTTCCCAAATTAACTTCTTGTTTAAAATTCTAAAGGTGATGGAATTTGTTAATCTGGTCTGGCTGGCTATGAGGCTATAGAGAGAAGCTTAGAAGTAGGACAGGTTGCCCGCCTCTCAATTTGAAGGAGTTTTATACTGCTTCGATTTTCAACGCGTAGACTCGGAGGATTGCTCGGATTGGGGCACCATATGATCCATGCACTGAAAAAAAAGCATCCCTCATCCCATCGACATGAACAGATGTAATTAAGTGGCTATCAAATAAAGAAAACAAATTTAAAGCTGATAAAAAAGCATGCTTTTTTGAAATATTGAACGTAAATCCAGAACTTTTGTACTGTTCGAGTTAAATAATTTAATCAAAATTGAAACACTTCTTCATTTTAGTTCTAAAATTCCGTTATTTTCGGGCCGACTATATTTTGGTGTGAGACATGGATACATTACGGAATGAAATGGCGATTGGCAGTAAGAAGTGGTTGTTTAGACAAAAATGGATGAAAGCATGGTGCGCACCAGAGTGATGAATGGGTTATTGGACATTTCGTCAACGATTTTTTGTCCGCGCACCTGTTTTTCCAGTAATTTACGTCCACGCGTTTTTCGGCACAGGACAACTTGGTCCACGTGCCAGTTGAGACCCAAAGTTAATTGGCCCACATGTAAATACAAACGACAATTGCTCACGACGTTTTTGGATGAAAATATATAATGTCTTGGAAGAATGAGGGTTTGCTTGTTTTTTTGTTTTGTCTGTTTGGTCCAACGGAGAATAATAGATAGTTGAGAGTTTTGGTAAAAATGGGGGAGCGTCAATTCCATGAGACAAAATTCACTAAAACTCTCTACACCTCTTTGGTGTAACAGGACTTAATTATCTTTCAAGAAATAACCACCTTGTTATACCTGAACCGGATAAACCTCTATATTTGTCTCAGCTAAAGGCTCTTAGATTTTTCTTGTGCACGATAAGTATCTTGATTTATTTTGCGAGGAAAGATCTGTACTTTTAAAGGATGTCTGTCACTCTTAGTACGTTCAATATCGTATAATACTGTGCAACACCTTTGTTGTGAAATAGTTGCTTCAGGCGCCGCCGCACGGCGGGCGGGCGGCCACTGCGAAGCGCGCATTGGCGCCTACAAACCTAAGTGGATACTACAAGCATTGTGCAATGCGTGAAGTATCTACTTAGGTTTGTAGGCGCCGATGAGCCTCTCGCGCTGGCAACACGCCACTCCGCTCTGTTAGGCTTTAATATATTTATACTCGCATAGTCAGCGTTTTTTAACTCATGATTTTGAAATTTTTGCACACTCTGCATTGATTATTCTCATTTAAATTGATGGAAAAAAATATGTATCATTTTATCAAATGAGAATAATAGTATAATGTGTGTTTTTTAAATAAACTTTTCTTTTAATGTGTGTTTTTTCTTTTACATTTTGTGCTTTTATTGATCTGCAGCGAGGTGTACGCGCAACGAAACGCTCAAAATTTGACGTATTTGACTCTAAAAGATCGATGTACAAATGGGTTAAAACTGAAGATTGCGTGCTTCTTGGTTTTTCCCCTCTTTTATTCATTTTTACAGTTTCTCACCAATTTCTCATTTCCATATTGCCAATATAATTTTACATACCGACTAAAATATAACTCGTGGACCAAGCCACTGTTGCTTATTTTACGAGTGGGCGTAAACTACTGGACAAAAAAGGTGCGCGGACAAAAAATCGTTGACAAAATGTCCTGAAACCGATTAATGCGGCACTTCTCTGTATTTTAGTATGAGAATATACTATAAGAACTGGGCGTTCAGACGGATCTCATAATTTCTTCAAGTTCATAACCTTGCTAAAAACGACTATGCTGATACCATGTTGAGATCGCGTTAAAAAGGACCATGTTATTCCTTTTAAACACAATCTCGTCAGGGCAACAAAGTGAGACCCTCGAGCCTCAGCTCGACTAGCCTCTCAACAATCAACTTAATGTCGCATGACCATAAATTTAATAGTTTCCACCGTACCCAAGGGGACATGAAAGGAGCATGTATCGTTGGTATATTCAATCAGCAAGACAAAATTTTACAAGGCTATAAAATCATCTCGCGTGTCTGTAGAAGATTCGGGATTTTTTGGGACCAGTGCATAGGTCTTCGATAGTTTTCGTTTCTAATTTCTCATGAAGAGGATTTTTAAATCTTCTTCGTGAGAAATGATGGTGGTATGCGAAGGAAAACCGTCGTATGGGCTTTCAAACGTCACCAAATTTTCCTTTATAAAAAATGTATGAATTATCTGCCTTGAAATATTTAACTAAAATATATTCTAAACAATTCAAAGAAAAAATTTGTAAGTTTTCTGTGAAATTCGTGTTTCATTTGGAGGAATCAGCACAATCAAAATGCTCATGAGATGCTCAGTGGCGTGGCGTGTTTTGCGATATATCAATTGTTATGCCATTTAAACGTATGGAAAAGGATCAAAATAATCAGGGTGTTCGCAGCGAATACCTTAATAATTGATTCTTTACTATAGGTTTAAATGGCAGAACAATCGATACATCGCAAAGCACGCCACGCCACTGGAGATGCTATAAGACACCTTGCCGACTCTGCTAAATTTTACAACAGCGACAGCTGATAACCCTTAGCAGAAGACCAACTTCTACTTGAAAATAAAGTTTCACACGTATTGTGACAAAAGTTCCATACATATGGTTTTATTGTAGGGTGCAGAAACTCGGATCAAAGCTTTGTCTGGAGCATGTAGTCAACTGCGTAAACATGCGAAGTCACGTGATCGTTCAACAGCCACATCGTGCAATTAATTCATGGAACGTTCCATCGATCTATGAAATTGAAGTTCGTAAGGTGGGAAATTTTGTATGAGGAAGTTAGCAAAATGTGTGGAAACGAACGATCTGGCGACGTGGAAATTTTGCACGTAAATTTCTCGCATGTTTAGTTTATGATGCAAACTGGGTCAAATATTAACACAGTTTGAATGATGTGACATGTATTACAATGTAGTCCATTTTGGATGCAAAAAGAACAATTTTGCGTAACTCCGTATAGGACACTAAAAAAAACCAGAAAACAAAAATTCATTGTTTGGAATATTATTCATTGGTCCTTGTGTCCCTTCTTGTATTTTATGAAGGAAAATTACTTTAAAGGAATGTTTACCCATTAGGGTATACATACTTAATTACCTATGAGGAGCAATACCTTAAATTACACTTACATTGCATTATTACGATTTTGATAGCAATGTAATTGGTCACGTGTGGCTCTTTAGTGGGATTTTGCCTTATTCGACTACCTTATTGCCTGACCTTATTTTTTAAAAGAGGGGTTTAAACGGCTTTTCATGAAGGCAATGCAAGTTTTCGGGAAAATGTAAGGAAACGAGATTTTCTTCATGAGGTAAATCACAGTTCGGGAAGTCAGAGATGATTTCGGTATTTTCCCTTCCGAGTTTGTACAACATCATTGATTAGACCCTCCTAGGAGGGTATAATGAAATTATTACAGCTTACTACAGTGAAAGACTTATGGACATCATTTTCGAAAAATTTTTGCAAATCGCTGACCTAGTGGTTGCATATCTACTTTTTAGAAGGCAATTTCTCAATCTCTGCTTACTGAACTAATACTCTATAAAAATACCATTAAAAAGAAATATGAATGTTTCCTGGAAAACCACTTTCCATGGGTTTTTTCGAAGTAGCTTCTTTGCGTTGGATAAGAATTTGTTTGGGAAAAGTTGCATATTCCATGTATTGTAGGAATTAATGATGGGAAATGTTTCGGTCGGCATGAATCGATCGAAAAACAATGACGAGAACCGATTGACAGTGACGCACTCAACACCACTCAATGAATTAAAATTAATTAATTAAAAAAAAAAAAAAAAAAAAAAAAAAAAAAAAAAAAAAAAACAGTTTCTATTCGATCGATATGAACCGAATAATAGCGTGAATCATCGACAACGATACGATTGACGCTGATTTGATCGACAAGTAAAAAGATCGATCAATCCATGGGTTTGTCGATTGATTTACGAGTTTGCCGATCGATTCACACATTTGTCAATGATTCACATGATTTTCTATGGAATCATGCGTGTTTTGGTAGAATATATATCAGTCGATTGATTGATCAAAGTGACCATGATTTTTCAAATTAAATGTCGATTGAATCAGTATTGATGAAATCGCTACCAATCGGTTCTTGTTTTCGCTATTCGATCGATTCATGGTGATCAAAACGGCACCTATCTAGAAAAATAAACATATTTATATGAGAAATTTAAATGTTACATTTCATTTACGGTTGATGCAAAAACTGCAAATTTCCTTCCTCGCATGATAGAACAGGTGAAGCAATGCATCTTTACAATAAAACACTCTGACAGGTGATGCGTTGCACTAGTTCAATCAAAGACAGTTGTTTTGCAACAGTCTTGTTGCAAGGTGTGTGTAATAATATGTGTAAGTTGGAAGTCGCACATATTAGAACTTTTTTATACTATTTAACTAAATTATACGATCAAAACAGGGCCTCTGAAATTTAGGCATACGGTAATCAAGCTAGTTTGGCTGTCAAAAAAAATGCACAAATCTTAGCATTTTAAAGGAAAAAATAAACGGAGCTACCAAATGATTTCATAAAAAAAAAAAAAAAAAAAAAAAAAAAAAAAAAAAATCACACTTGATTCGCTTTCTCAATAATACTCTATTTGTTTTTATGATAGTGCATTCATGGCTCAAGTGACCTGGCTCCTCATTTCGGTTGCTTTGGGTGAATAATTGGCTTTCATTAAAATGAATCGTCAAGTTAGTGCGAGTAATAATGTGGAGTTTAACACTTAACCACTTCTACAACGGAGAGAATTAGCTTTGATTCAAAAATTATATTTCTTACTGGATTTGCTGCGAATTTACAAGTTGTTTCTTCTCGACAAGTAAAGTTATCGTAATCATATTTCAAGAGGTTGAATTTGGAGTCTAAAACTCAAAGTCAAAGCCTTGAAAGACATCGGTACTCGTGAAGTGGAAATGAATTAGTAGTTTCCATATTGATCGTTTCATCGTGTGTTCGGTTATCCAGAAAAAAAATGCAGGCATTAATTTACTGCGTCCAAGGAGCCTTTTGATAAGTCTCTTCCTTCTCTTCTTACCCCTGTGAAAGTGGTGGATCCAGAGGGTGATAAAAAAGGGGGACATTTGGGGCACCCCCCCCCCTTAAACGCAGTAGAATAGTTCTGAGCCCCCCCCCTCCCCTCCCGCTAAGAAAATTTTGAACACTCGAATTTTCCTATAGATTCATATTGATGGATATCCAACTTTTCAGCTTAACATTTCTTGATAAAAATTGAAGGGATTGCACCCCTTTACTTAATGCTTCACTTCGGAGAGGACGAATAACAAAAAAATAAAAAGTTACGATAATACGGCAGACAGCAATTGAGTGGCTTGGAGGACAAGGCGCATAAGTGAAATTTTTGCTATTTCCAGAAATACATGTTTGAAGTTTCGAAATTACATGGATCCTTATGGCGGAGATCAAGTTCAAACCGACGTGTTGAAGCTTAAAAATTGAAACTTTGGAGCGAATTTTTCACAAACTATGCATTAAGACTAGTTTTACTTGAAATCATTAATATCTCGATTTTTTCAAAAACTGCACATCTGCGCCTTGTCCTCCAAGCCCCTCAACTAAGCGATTATTTTTTCCTTTTTTTTTTTGATAAAAAAAAAAGATGTAAATTACTAAAATTGTGTGAGTACGTTATTGCACTGGCTTTACCATAAAGGTGCTATAGTGCGCATATGCTTTTTCTTTCATGTCGGTGATATTTTGTCAAAAGTCTTGCAATTTTCTCTTCACTCCTAATTTCTTCTTTTCATTTGTTAAATCCAAGGAGGGGACCATGTCACCATGACCTCTCCTCCGAATCCGCCTCTTTCACGTAAACCGTCATCCAGCAAAAAACCAATGGCGAGGCGTGAATGATCGATTATTGATATTTCTTCATTTCATGCTATGGTGAAGAATCTATCATTAAAGTGTTCGTTGCGAACACCCTGTTTATCGATCCTTTCCCATTGGTTTAAATGGCAGATCAATCAATACGTCGTAAATCACGCCTCGCCATTGCAAAAAACTAATGACTAATTAGTTATTAGACCAGTGACACAACTAAATAAATTATTTCTTCTCACTCCAGCTACGATGCATTATACCAACAGCAGGTCATCAAATGCTCTTCCACCGTTTATCGCATGTTTATTGGTCCTACACTCGACTGGCATCACAGAAGCAACAATATGGCCTCACGAGACAGATCTTCAAATAGCACGTCAAACTTGCGAAAAAGCACGCTTTCCACTCCTTTGCATCTCAACATTGACTTCGTTCCCGAATCTTGCCTCAAAATCCATACCACAGATGATCCGCTCTGTTCTCAACCATACCGTACACGAGGTCCATTCCTGTTCACACGACTGTGTTCATATAAAAAAGAACCACCAAACGCTCGCCAATACCGAGCAGATAGCACTCGATGATTGCATACACTTGTTCGATGACACCAACTCGACACTGAGGACCGCTATTGCTGACCTCGAGCGAAATGAATTGGGCGACCTGCAGACCGCCCTCAGTAGAGCGATGACCAACTTAGGTACATGCCTAGAGAGCCTGGCTCATTGCGATAAGAACAAGCTTAGGGAGAGGTTTCATTCGAGACTTTCTAAGCTCTCTAACCATGTTAGTAATTCACTGGCGATGCTGCATAAAGTGCCCGATTTGGGGAGCCCCACAAAATCTGAGGTGTTTCCGGAGTACGGGGAAATGAAAGGGGAGTTTCCGGAATGGTTGTCCGACTTAGATCGGAGGTCACTCACGTCACATGGTCCGCCGCGAGGCCATGGTCCACGCAAAAGTCTAAAGGCTGGTCCGGCATTCGATATTGTGGTGGCTCAAGATGG